GGGGGCGGGGGCGGGGCGGAGCGGTGGGGCTCAGGGCTCGTCCCGTCTCCTGCCCCGCTCGTACCCAGAGCGGCCGCGGCTCTCACAGGGGAACGAGACCGGCCCGGACCCGGGGCCTGGCTGCCCCCGGACCGGCGCCGCGGACCCTGGGGGACTCGGGCCCGGGGCGGGAGGGAGCGGAGCCGGGTGTGAGATGGGGCCCAGGGACGGGAAGGAGACCCTGGTCCTTGTGCCAGGGCGGCCTGAAAGCCCGGGAAAGGCGACCCGGGACCTCCCTTTCTGCGCAGAGCAGATGCGACCTGGGCTGGAGAAGTTTTTCTATGACTTTACGGCGTGTGTAAATCTCATGGGAGGTTTTATTTCTGTTAAATTCCTTGAACCGATTGAACTTCAAAGTACAATAGCTACACAGCATGCTAGTACAGCGTTAGTCTGACGTGTTTTTAATTGTAGCGAATCACTTGGGTTTGACAGAGCATTTTAAGGTACAGCTTTTCTGCCTAGGATGAGATAGTCTGGAGGCAGCAAAGCCTCGTCCCTAACAGCAAACACAGATTTATTCCCTTTGATCCCTGCCATAGGACAGGATGTCCAGCTTTCTTCATTCCTGAATGATAATACATGGCTGGAGGGAGGGAAAAATATTCAAGGCAATAAATAGCCTAGCTTAGATGAGCGAAGCTTTAGTTACCAGAACCTATTTTTAGGTCATAAGTTGAATTTAAGTGGCTGTAATCTTTATACGGGGAATTGGCACAGGGTTTCTCCTGTTGTATTTTATTTATAGCTGTTTCTTCTCCTTTCCAGGGAAATAAGATTAGTCTCATTATTTCCATTATTATTATTCTGGCTGTCGTCATTATTATTCAGTCCGTCCGTCCATCCACCCATTTAGGTCTTGTCTGGAATTACCTAGGATTATCCTGCTAATGCATGTTGCCTTCACACAGAATATCATTTTTGTTGCTAAGAAACTGCTTTTGCATAACAGACAGCGTGGGCCTAATTTTCACTTCAGCAGCTGTTAAAGTCAACGGGAGCAGCAGGTGCTCGGCGCTCCTGAGAGCCAGAGCCAAAGTGTCCGTGGCAGAATTCCCACACAAGGTCTTGACTCTGCGTGCGAGTGTGTCATCTACATGTGCGATGTGCTCGGGGACCCAGCGGCTTCGCGCTTGAAAAGAAAAGGAGCGAAGGTGTCTTGAGCGTCTCCAGCGTGTCCGTGCTGTGCGACTGCAGTTGCCTGCACGCCGGGACAGGAGGAGCAGCTGTGTGCGCTGGAACGTTTGCTAGGTGGGAGTATTCCCATGTCCCCTCTGCACACAGATGTGCGAATACATGCCTATGGTCACGAGCTAAAAATTGTGTTCTCGTAAGTAAATAGCTGTCAGCAATGAGTTTGGGCACATGCGGTTCGTGTTAATATTAACGTGTCAGCCTTCCTGTGCGTGTCTGTGTGCACCAGCTCCCGTGTGCAGACATGTAACGGCTGAACGCGTGAGCGGGCTGTGTGCATGCGGGGCTGTGCCCCTGTACGCGACTCTGTCCCCACTTGCGAACATCCCTGTGTGACATTCACAGCACTTAGGCTGTTTATGCTGCAGGTCAAGGCACAGACACGGTGACATTTCCTCTCCCTGCTGGCTCTTTCATGTTGCTATGGTGATCAGATGCACTCGCACTTTTATCTGAAGTATCTATTAACTAAAGCTTCCTATTAATTTCCCCTCCGTAGAATGCATATGGAATTCACCGGAACACCAGGTAGGCTTTTTAGGTCCCAAAATTACATCAGAGCCTGCCCCCAGTTCTTGGGTGGGCTGCCAGAAACATCATGGGGTAGAAGTGCAGCTGATGAAAATGTTTTTTCCATGAATAAAGAAATCACTTAGTAATGAGAAAGAGAATAGAGAGCACAAGGAGGAGTGTCACAACAGCCTCTCCCTGTAGATCCGTGAATATGAAACGTACTCGAGCCTCAATACCTCGTCCCTGACCCAGCTGTAAAGGGATTATTTGGGCTGGGAAGTCAAAGGCAGCTGAACGTGGGGGTGGCCACGCTGCTCGCCTGGAGCAGATGGGCTGTAACTGCATCAGCCTGAAAGGTCTGGGGCAGGGTTTTGACTCTGCGAGGGGCAGAAACCAGAGGCACCCTGGTTCGTCCTGCTCAAATTCCTTTGTCACCTTGGTTCTGCGTCCTTTGGCTTCTCTTATTGAGGTCACCACTGAAAGAATTGGTGTCCCAAACCAGGGCACCAGGGTGACGGAGACATCACCCGAAGGTGGAGAGTCTCCTGAACCAGACTGGCGTCAGAGGTGCAGCTCCTACTTCCATTGACACGGCAATCGGGAATAAAAGATCTGCCAGCGTGTAACACCCCATCTAAAAGCGTGGCTGGGTGATGCAGTGCTGCGATGGGCGGCTGTACACAGGGGTGCTTCCCGTGTCCTCCGGAGCTCGAGCTGCTGCTGCTTGTCAGAGAAGCTGCCAGGAAACCTTCCTATGCAAGTGACAGCTTCCAGTGACGGAGGGTGGATCTGAACACCTGGGATAGAAACGAAGGGCTCAAAACTATCGCGTCCCTCATGTACAGAATACGTCCTCCACAAGGCCCTGGAGACTCCCGTGAAGGTTTTGTAGGGTAATGCAGATAAAGCCCCAGCCAGTATTCTGAGAATATAGAGGGAAATTAAATACCCACCAGAGGAAGAGAAGATAAAAAATGAGACGTTTTGACAGGACTGCCAGATTGTGTGGCAGGAGGGTTAATTTTTTTTGAAACTGCCATTTCATATTCCCTTTCAGACGAGCTGAATTACACAGTACTGGCTGCTGGAGGAGTTGCATAATTTTCTTCACAGAAATAATGACAGGGTACTTAAAAAGCAAGTGAATGGATGGCTAAAGTATTGGGCAGAGACTTAAGAAATGTAGGCTGAGACCCCACCTTTGCTAGAGACTCCTTTTGTGACCTTGGGCTGGTCATTTAATCTTCCTATGTCTTATTTCCCTGCCAATAACATGAGAATAATAACTGTTCTTTATCTGTCTTGCTTATTTAGACTGCAAGCTCGGAATTTACAGGTTGCATCTTCTGTGCTTATAAGGCAACCAAAGGCAAAGAGCTTCAATTCATGCTAAGGAGTCTGAGACAACCATAATATACAAAGTAGATAACAATAAAAGGGCTTAGATATATAGTTTGGAACACTTTTAGCATGAAAGGCTCAAAAGTTCCTAATCCATTGTTCCACACCTCTTCCCTCAAAATGTGGAGAAGTTTGGATCTGTGCTAAGAGTTCCAAAAGCATATAAATAATTTAGGAACTAAGTCCATGCTGATTTACGGAATCCCCAAGTTACTTCTGAAACTGTGAGCGGATAATTTAGATGCCTGCAAAATTTTCTGCAACGTCTTTGTGCTCAGTCTGCCACTGCATTAAGGGTTAGCGGCAGACTGAGTCGAGATCCTCATTTTTTCAAACTTTAAATTTAGGTTTGCAGGCAGCTGTGTACCAAGTCTTTATCAATCTCTTCAGCTTTTAGGGGTTTGTCTGATTTCCAGAAGTCAGAGGAAGATGGCTTCTTGCCACTAGGTCCAGTGAAGACAAGATCTTCTATATAGTTAAGCAACTACATGAGAAATTTGCTGTACAAAGGGAACAAGTCTAAAAATAGGGAGAAATGGCACCATGACATTATCAGGAACAATGACCCAATACCCAACTTGCTGCAGGGGCTTTTGTCCTGTAACTACCTTCATCATTAAGGCTTGTGATGACATTATTTTCTGTGCTTATATAGGGCATGAGGCCACAGCTACCTGGAAGGAAGGATTTTGATCAGACTGCAGAAGATGAACAAGCAGGAGAGGCATGTTGGGTAACACTAAATCAATGTAGTTTCATTTACATTAGACACCAGCCTGGCAATTTCAACATTAATGGTTGCACTGCTGCCCTCCGAATTTTTCTAGATTTAATATATCGGTGGGGAAGTAAAAGAGAGGGGGAGCGTGAGTTGTTCTTGCTTATGATACGTGGATCTTTTCTTTCATGCATCATCAAAGGACAGTGATTTGTACAGTTGTTAAACTCTTTTGGCAATACATTTCCTGGGATAAGCATTGCTCCGCTCCTGCCTCACAGATTATCTAAGATGATAATAGCAATAGTATCTTTGGATCCCCCCCTCTCCCAAATGGAAAGGACAAAAGACTGGCTCTGAGGCAAATGGCAAGGTAGCAAGAGCATCAGATTTAGACCTAAGCCTTAGGCTCAGCTTGCTTTTGCGGAGCCACCAATTTCTTTTGTGTGTTTTGGGCAGTTACCACCTCTATCCCCTGCCACAGTTCTGCTGTGTAACGTGCGCCTACCTCGTAGGAGTCGTGATGGAATAAAGTGCTCAAATACGA